AAAAAGAAGATGAATGAAGCTTGAAAACGACGATCAAGATGACCTTCTGTCAATCGTTCAATCATTCTCTTTGTAGAAACAACCAAAAGACACGATTGAAGTTTCATATGAAAGCCAACTTCAAGGGCTACAAATCACATGAAGACATCATTCCGAGAATTTGAGAGGAGAAAGGTGCAAACAGACGATGAAGTCGGATGATCCTGTTGAGATTTCAGAATGAGACCTTCCATCATTTTGATCACATCTTTTGATTGGATGATTCCAATCACATTCGGCAAGTTGTGGTGGATATATGACTTCATTATCTACAACTTTCATGAAGGAAGTTTTGTCAAATTCGGAAGTTTAACGCACGTCGTGCGTAGGGGGACGCACGATCGTGTGTACCCCCGAAACGCAGATTTCAGCCCTTTTTTAGTCCCAGTTCAGCCCAAACTCATCTGTTTTCTATAAATAAGGCCCCCTTCTCCTGTTTAAGGGTTATGAACATTACGGAGAGGACTAGGGACGATTTTATCTGCGTTTTTACCATTGTTTAGTACAAGACCCTAGGATTATTTGTAAGTTCATCTTTTTAATTAATGACAATTAATTCTATTCTATCCAATTCTGTTGATTCTTCAATTATGAATTTTGAGTAGTTTAATTAGGGATTTGGGGTTGATGAGGGGGTTGATCATGATGTATGGCTAGATTCTTCATGGTTTAATTGCATGAACGTCGTTTAATTTGTGTATGATTAATTTAATTGATATCTCTTGTAACCTAGACTGCAGCTATAATTACAATTGCATGTAGAATGAATTAATAGAGATCTAATTTGTTCTAGGACACATTCACACACACTTAGTCGCTCGCTAAGAGATTAGTAGCGATTAAGGGGCCGTAAGCTCGCTCGTCTTGGCAATAATTTAGGATCCTGTCGCATGAGAGATCAATCTGGTCTCCTAAATTAATTATTGTACTCTACTCCGCGAGAGCGGTAAGAACTTAGTAATGATTAGCTAGGCTCAATTAAATGAATTCCATGTAATTAGGCCTGATCTGCCAGAAATCTGGTTACCCCGGAATCAATCCTTGTTCCCTTCGTCGTTAATTAGAAAGAAACCAAACTTTTATTTAATCGTTCATTCGCATTAGTTAGTTTTCATTCCAATCATATCTCGCACGACGCATTTATTTTATTTCTTTTTAATCGCTGAATTTAATTAATTCTTGATTCCCTTTTGTTCGTCCTTGTGGAGACGATACTCGTACTTACACCACTATATTACGAGAAAACTCACATCATTTTTTGGCGCCGTTGCCGGGGACGGTGTCAGTTTTAAGGGTTAATTAATTTCAGCGAGATTTGTTTTAGTTAGTTTTTTTAGTTCTTCGTAGGATTTTTCTGTGCTAAATTTTCAGGTACTTGTTCTTAAGAGGATGAGATGAACTCATTCAGCTCGATTTATGGAGGAACACCTTACCCTCAAACCTCCACGAAATATTCACCATTTGCACCATGTCCTCCTTACACATCTCCTCAATTTTACACACTTCATCAATATTATTACTCTCCTACACCACAAAATATTCAGCCTTCTTATCCATACACTCCAACCACGCAACCTTTTCATTCTGATTCTTACTATCCTTCATCACAATATCCTTGGGTAAGCGTAAGACCAGGCTCCATTCTTGAATTTCTTCTTCAAACTAAAACGCCCGATGAAATATCTGAATGATTTAAGGATAACATTTGTTCCTTCTATGGAGGAGGTCACCATTTATGTGTTTGCCCCATCAAACCTATATATGACCATCCTTTCCGGGAAATTGCATACCCTTCTTCGTTCTCCCCACAATTTACGAATACAAATGTTTCAGTCACTCTTACGTCCTTGCCGAGTTATGAGCCACAGAATGAATTGGAAGAGACAATTTCAGATAAGCTGTCATACTTGGAAGAGGGACTCATGAAGCTCACAGCCCGAATGCAGAATTTAATCAACATGGTGGGTCAGCTGGCAGAAGCCCAAACTGAGGAGACCAATAGGGATGATCATATGACTGAGTCGGAGTGCGAAAGTGGGAATATGATGGATGATACCCTCCCAGATGCTTTTGAAGATCCACCTATGGTTGAACTTGATCAAAATTATAGTAGTCTCGAGTTGTTTCTTCAAGAATACAGGAAAAAGTTTCAAATGGTACAAGTTGTAACTGACACTACTAGAAATAAGGTTATTTGCTGCGGTTATTTTCACTTATTTGCTGCGGTTCTTAACCGCAGCAATTGAAGGAGCAGCAATTTGTGAAGTTACTTATTTGCTGCGGTTCACAACCGCAGCAAATACTAATTCATAATTTTTTTAAAATACTTTTTGCGGCGGTTCAATAACAACCGCAGCAAATAGGGCTGTGAATTTTTACGAAATGCCTTGCAGCAAATAGTGTTATATATATTAGCAATATATATAACACTGCCTGCTTTTATTGAAGTTTCAAATGGTCAATTAATCATACTTTACACCAAAACAATACATTCTTACTACATATTTCATGAACTAACAACAATATGACTTATCTAGTATTACATCCAATACAACAAAATTAATCTTAAATACATCCATTAAGTATGATATTCCTTCCAGCCGATGATTTGCATTGGGAAGTGCATGGCTCCAGTAGCAAAAAAAAAAGTGGATGAATCCAAAACCATATGGAACGCGATCCTCCCCCACCTCTTCTATCTCAGAATCTTTTGAGAACTGAATCTTCAGTTGCAAGAGATGAAAGCGTTAGGTCAGAACAATCATACCGTGAGAAAGACTTAAAAAGTAAAGACTATTACACTAACCTGAAAGCATTTAGAATCAGTTCTCGTAGAAAAATGCAACCACAATTGCAAAGACTGCATACAAAAAGATTATCCAAGTGAAAAAGAGAAGAAGCAAATAACAGCAGATTATGGTGCACACTACTTTTCACATATCTAATCTACAAACTCATCTAAGAACATTATATTTCTCAATTTTCTGGTAACTAGAAATGCTGAATCGGTCAAAAGTATGTAGGCCAGTTTATAGTGCTAAATTAGTCTTTACTCATTTGCTTTATATTTTGTTGTTTATTTGTTAGAATGATTTCTGGTCTACTTTTACACTCCAGTGAAGCCTAGTACGCAAAGGTTAATGCAAGGAAATTGTAATTGAAGATTGAATTGTTACACTATGCAATGATGTGAAATCTAGAGTATTAAATTTTAGTAAAATTATAAATAATTAAATGAACTAAACAAGAATACACTTTAGATACTAATTCAAGTAATACTACGTATTAAACTTCAGAAAGTGACAAAGATTGAAATTTGAAAGGTAACCTCTAATTATGAGATGCGGCAATGAGCAGGCAAGTCGTGGATACAGTAGCAGCGAGCAACAAGAAACGGCGGCGAGCATACATGAGGCGAAGGCAAGCAGCAGGAACGGTGGCAAGTGGGCAGGAAGCGGAGGTAAGCAGCACCAAGCCACGGCGAGCTGGCAGGAGTATAAAATAGATGTATACAAAAGCACACAATTAGAAGAACCTAAAATGTTAAAAAGCACACAATCAGAAAAATAGATGTATAAAAACACTAGCAAGGTGCTTAAACTTATTGTGAAAAGGGATTTTAAAAAGAACAATGAAAATCTTACACTTTGACTTCCTCACACAAACTGACTGCACCAAGAAATGTGGCCCCATAAAAATGAGCGTGACAAATAGGAAGTAATGAAAAGGAGGTGCCCAAGTATACAAATTTTGAATGTGAGACTTTGATGCTAAAAGGCCAAAGGGCATACAACAAGCAAACCCTCTATCACAAACATTCGAAGATTAAAATGATGAAGTCAATATTGACTTTAATAGTGGGATGCCACTTGTTGGTGGATGTGCAGCTTACATACAAGCTTTGAGGACGATTTAATTGATTAAAAGCGAGATGTATCAGGTATTAGAATGTTAAAGAAACTATTGTCAGCTGATATCACAAAATAAAAGTAGAAAGATGTGTTTTGGAAAAGCAACATCTAAAAGCAGATAGGTGCTTTTAGATCAAGGTTGGAAAGGAATTAATAGAAGGCACATACATGCAAATCCAGACAAAATACCAGATAAGTGCCCAAGTAACAAGACATTTGGCATAAGAAGCTGCAAAACGCCAAAACCACTAGCAAGATCAATGCAAATATACTGTTTAAAAATTAGCAACTTTAATTAGCAAATATGCAAGCAATTGTATAACATACATATGTGCATCATACTGTTTTGAAAGAGTAATCTGAGGGGGTATAGATGGTTAACTAGTGCAAAATCCTCGGATTTCTTTAGTGGAATAATGCAGTTGATGCATATTACATTGACGCTTCATGATGGCTCCGTCGAGTAGTGTGTTACGTGCTTTCAATGGGCCATAAAATATCCCAAACGAGTCTGAAAATTGAGATCCATGTTTTGGACTTAAAGATGTTGGTTTCCTTTCACCTAAGAACCTTAAAAAGCACCATAAACATGTTCCATTGGCAATGAAACTCTGTAATCAATAGCCAAAGAAAGACAGTAAATTTATAGATTCATCGATAATGAGAAGTATAACTAAAATAAAATATGTTCATACTTTCATATTGAATAACAAGCCGTCCTGAAAGAAATGCATAATTTTAATTAAAAAAATGGCATGTTTGGTAAAACCTAAGGTCTCAATTATTCAAGGGTGAAAAAACCTTAATAATTAATCAATGTCCTAAAACGATAAAAATGAACAATACATACACAATTTTAAAAATCAACAATACTACTAATACCAACACCAAATATCATTACTCCTCTCTAATTAAAATTAACCATACTAACAAATTTTTTACTAAAATGATAAATACAGACTCACTAATTAGTGGAGATAAGAGGAGAGCTAAAAGCTGCTCCTAAGGAGCCAGGAGGAGGCGGACGATTAATGAGAAGCCGCAGTAGACATCGAGCGAGATTTGGAGGCGGTGGCATTCAAGCGAGGGCGGTGGCTGTCTTCAAGCCAGTGGCGGTAGCAGTCTTTGAGCGAGCGGCAGACGCAAACATTGAGCGAGCGGCGGTCGCAGTCGTGATCTATGGTGACGAGTTGCGGCTGGGATTGGGATCGAGCGGTGAAGGCGACGGACGAGCTGTGGTTGCGGCTGGGATTAAGGAGATGTGAGATCGAGCTGTGTAGAATGGCTAGGGATTTGGATCGATTTGTGTGAAGTCTGGTCGAGGAAGGATTGTGGATGAGACACCCTATATTATGCTATATACCTGTTGCTGCGGTTCTGCCAGGGCCGCAGCGAATACTTCAAAATTATTACGTATTTTCTGCGGTTCTAAGTTGCCCGTAGCAAATATTTCACAATTATACATTAATTGCTGCAGTTCCTCTCTCAGTGCAGCAAATAATCTAAAATATATCAACTATTTGCTGCGGTTCTCTAATGACCGCAGCAAATAAGCAGCAGCAAATATGAAAAATTCTAGTAGTGTGATGAAGTCACTGATCACTGCGATTTTCATACAGAAACTCCCCATCCGTTTGATTTACCATTAGTATCAACACCTAACGAGGATGGCAAGGAGAAGATTACTCATGATGATAGTGCTACTGAGGTAGGTTTGGGTATTGAAGATGAGTGGGGAAATGATGATTACATGCTCCAAGAGAGTAGGGGCGAGGTAGATGATGTCCATAATGAAGAAGTCCCGCCCACAAGCAAGATTACCCCTCTTGTACACATGAACCAGTCCACTGTTACGTGGTTCCAGATATGGACTTCTTTGATTCACTCCTTGATGCAATATTCCTTTTTGTATGGAGAGTGACAACATCATCCAAGAAGACATTGATGAAAACAGTGGTAATGAATTTTGGGATGATCACATGGGGAGTGATACAGAGTCCAGAGGAGAGGTTGTGAATTTTCCTAATATTTGTGAGGATGAAGAAGACTTTTCTATGGTGCAGTTTCATTACGGTATTGCTCCTACTCCTTTCTTTGAAACATCTTTTGAGCTTCCGGTGATACCTAGAGTAATCAAAGTTTCGAATCATGTTCTCTGTCCACCCGAAGAGGATGAGAGTTTCATACTTCATTTCTGTGCTGATGAGGGTTATGAAGACCATATGCTAGCTACGTGGACTGAAGAATTTAAAGATCTGCGACACCTAATGACATTTGTTGAAAGGAAGCTAGAAACGTTGATTACTAGTGCACCAATACAGTCTTTGCTATTTGAGAGCTTATGAGGTATCGTCGGGCACACGACGTTAAAAATAGCGCTTCTTGGGAAGCAACTCGAGCTTATTTCTGCTTTTGTTTTTGCTTTTGCTTTGTTTGTTGTTTGGTTGTTTTGCTTTGTGTTTTTGTTGCAGCTCAGGGTCTTGTTGTAGGGATGATGTGCCGAGGATTACAATGACTCAGTTTAGTTCTGCACCGACCAATGCCTTAGGGAAGTTTCTGCAACTCTTTTAATCGCTTGTTTCTAAATTTTAACTTGAGTTGAGTTGAGCACGCGTGACCCTTTCCTCTTTATCCCCTTGTACATAGTGCATTTTTGGTCATCGAGGGTGATGCCAAAGTTTAAGTGTGGGGGAGTGAATTGGGCATTCGGGCAGTAGTTGTGACATGTGATTATTAGAGTTAGCATGCGCAGGTGTTAGTTGTATATTCATAGAAAAGTCATGTCAAAATTTTTGAAAATTTTTCTTTAAACTGTGTCTTTGTGAGCTGACTAGCGTTTTGGCTATGTTTTAGAACATCTTTGAAGTGTTTAGGCTTAAATAGGAGTGGGCAAAAATACTGGAAAACCGGTATACCGCACTAAAAATACCGGAAAATACCGGAATGTTGGTATACCGTCATTTTCGGTATGGTATCATACCGTACCTTTTTATTTTGGTACAGTTACGGTATATGTTTCCAAATACCGCGGTATACCGGCACAATACCGTACCGTCTCCATATTCAACAATTATTTTATATTTTTTTAAATATTGTAGAAGTCCACTAAAATTTTCAAGCCCAACATAAAACTCAAGTTGGTAATAAATACCAAAATACAAAAATTAAGGCCCACTTTTCCAAACCCAAAGCCCACTAACCTTCTACTATGTGTCTACATAACATTCAATCAATAACCCTAAGAGCTAATGACTAATGTTCAGATCGAAACCAGTCCATCTTCCAAGAGCTTGCGATGACCTAGCGGCTGACTAGTTAATGAGTGAAGATTGAAGAGGGATAACGCGAGAGCACGCCGGTTTGTCATCTGGCTTCTTTCACTTTGAAGGAATATGTCCGAGTTTGAAGGTAATATACTATATTCTTTGTTGGCTCTCAAACCTAAAGTGAAATGGAATGTTACTCGACTATTGGTTGTGCAATTGATAAATCGAAAGTAAGAGTATTGTTCCGTTAGTTTAATAAAGTTTGTAAAAAGAGTTATTTGTAATAAAGTTTCATAGTTTAGTCTAACTTCTGATTAAGCTCAAAAATATGTTATTTGGGACCGGTTAAGCTCAAAGTATATGCTAGTCTGTCTTTGAAGTACGTTTTATGATCTTTATATATACGGAGTAGTTTATAATGATTAAATTGAAAATTGATTGGCAATGAAGCAAGGCTTGTGCTTTTGTGATGACAAATTAAACAAATAGAATCAACCTATTACCAATGTTTATATATATTTGAATTTTTCTAACCTTACTGGTTAGCACTATGAATCAATATATTCAGATTCAGCCATTTCAGGCCCAAGCTCAGCAATTTCAGCCTATTGCATCACTTTGGACATTTTAGGCCTTACCAATGCGCTCTTGATGTTTTAGGACTTACTTGTTTGGTCATATTGGAATAAACTCGATGTATTTGGTAGTGAATCAGTGGGAATATGATGTCACTACTTGGTTTACAATTTATTGAGTTTATTGTTTTACATATAGCCCTGAGTTTACTTGCTATTGTCATTATTATTATGTTGTTCTATAATTCAACTTTTCTGTTTTCTGGCAGGGGGAAGTGGTGAGCAAGTTAAACTTTTGTAGGCTAAGGAGTGGATGATGGTGCATGATTGATGACTACGGGTGTGTATGTCATTTAAACATTAACTTTTGTCTTTTGTTATTCTGGAAAATTGTTTATGTATGGTGCATGAAAATTTGTTTATGTAATGGGCACTTATTATGGTCTTTTTAAATGGATGTGACATAACTCTTGTGTTAAAATTCATTTATCTCATTCGGTATGATACGGTATACCGAAATAATTCGGTATACCGTTTTTTTGGTATGGTAAGGTATGAGCCTTTTGTCAAACCGATATTTCTGTATACCGAAACACGGTATATCGAAAGTCCCGGTTCGGTATCGGTATGAAAATTTCCCATACCGCATTTTTGGTACGGTATACGGTATTGGGTGAAATTTTCGGTATACCATACCGAACCAGCCCTAGGCTTAAATTACTTGCACTATAACCTAGTTGCTTAGAGGATGAAGGCATTAGTCATCCATTTTAAATATTTCATTAATAATCCTCCCCACCCGAATTAAGTCCTTTAAGAGAAGCCACTTTGAGCCTGACCGTTCTTTGTTTACCCAATTAATTGAGCTCCATAGCCAAATGGTATGTGTTTCCTTACCCGTGAATATTTCTAACTTAGTCTTGATGTTTAGGGAAGTAGGGAACTAGGGGATGAATTTGCTAAGTGATAAGTCCGTATTTGAACACGCATTTGATGCGTGTTCGGGTCGGATTTTGATGGTTTTCCTAGCTTTAAGGCGTTGCAAGTCTCAATTTTGGCTCAAGTTGTGTTTAGCAGGCGTTGGATCGAGTTTCGTTGCAATTGGAGTTGAATTGAAGAAGTTAGAGTCCGACAATCGGCGCTTGAGAGGCATTCGGAAAGGATTTGAAGGCATTCAAGGAAGATTTGAGAGATTTGGAGGTCACCGGGAGATTCATGACGAAATTCTGATGAAGAAAGAGCATTTGGATCGACCTCATAAGCATTCGGGAGCATTCGGAGCAAGAAACGAAGAAAAATGATGAAGAAAAGACCAGGCACGACCGTGCCTGGAAAAGGGTTGAGGCGCGGAGCTACTGCCAGCCAGGCATGATCGTGTCCTGGCCAGGCACGATCGTGCCTGCAACTGAAGCGCGTGAATGTTCCATAGGCACGATCCCAGGCACGATCGTGCCTGGCACCGTGTCTGGCCCCGATTTGTCCTATATCAACTCAAATTCTACTGTTTTCTATAAATAAGACCTCCATACCCCTTTTTACGGGTTACGAACATTACAGAGAGGCCTAGGGACGAATTTAACACCGTTTTTACGCTATTTTCTTCCAAGACCCTGGGATGATTTGTAAGTTCATCTTTTTAATTATGACAATTTATTCTATTCATCTCAATTCTGTTGATTCTTCAATTATGAATTGTGAGTATTTTTATTAGGAATTTGGGGTTGATGAAGGGGTTAATCATGATGCATGGCTAGATTCTTGTCGGTTTAATTGCATGAATGCCGTTTAATTTGTGTTTGAATAATTTAATTGATATCTCTTGTAACCTAGACTACAGCTAGAATTTCTTTTATATATTTATTTTGAATTTGTACTATACTATGGTGACATTGATATTTAATTAATTTGAAAATTTATTATCTACAAGATATTTTGTTAGTGTAGTAGTATTTTTTAAGAACCTAGTACCTGGACCGAATCGACCCGTTTCCAACGGAGCAGGTAAGGTTTGATTCCTATTTCGAGGCTTGATATACCTCGACCAAATCTATCCGTTAAATAGATTAGTGATTCTTGAAAATTTATCAATTATCCGGGCCGACCGGACCGTGCCCACCCATATTCCAAATATTTATATAGTACTTGATTGATGGTAGTTGGAAAGTGTAATCCTAATTATATTAGGATTTTGAGTATATTTCATGATAGTTACATTATTCTTAGAAACATGTTACACAAAATTTTAGGAAATATGAAAAACTATTTTTATTTCAGGAAGCAATAAGGGGGATGTTTGGTAAACGGCGTTTCAGTCGAAAAATGGCGGTTTGACCACTTTTGGCGTATTCAAAAAGTGAAAAAGTTGTTTGATAAATAGCGGTTCGACACCGGCGTTTTTGGCCGGAAACGCTGGAATGAAAACGCTGCTAATAGGAGAGTTTTGGGTTGATGTTTTGAAAAATGGCATTTTCCACTAATTTTATAACCAAACAACTATATTATCAAACATCTTCCGACAACTCGTCAATTTATTCCGGTAGTCAAACCCACTGATTGAATTCGTTATTGATAATCCGCTAATCGGTAACCGCGGAACGACAAACACCCGAAGGCCCATTTAAAAAATCAATATGAAGAATGAAGGGATCGCCTAGCTCCGTAATTACATGCGGAATATATGTTCGTGACTTTAATAGGGAAAAAAAGTAGGTGGTGCGCATAGCGGCTAGCACCATTAGAAGTGAGTTCTATTTTGTTCACCCCTTCATGGAGGGTGAACATCACCCCCTCCCTCCAACACATGACACTTGGCAAGACTTTTAAATTTTGTAAGTATAATGCCAAGTGTCATGTGTTGGAGGGAGTGGGTGATGTTCAACCTCTAAGGGGTCAACAAAGTAGAACTCATTAGTGACCAAGGACATACTTGTCCAGCTTTGACAAAAAAATGGTGGCGCGCGGAGCAGAGCCGTGTAGAACTGTAGATATTCTTCCTTGAGTTCCGAGTAAAAACAATACGGACTAGTGGATTACTACGCTAATCACTTTTTGGTTAGTCCGAGTACACAAATGAAAAGTAAGCATGTCTCCTTGATCCAAGGAGAGAAGGTGATAAAGAAAAAGCTCATAAACGATTTCTAATTCCACCTTGCGTGTTGATCCGGGTATGGTAAAAGCCTAAAAGAGATTGCTCGTTAAAATACCTGATAAAGTGATACTCTTACAAGCGAACTTTGCTCGTTTTGTCCGATAAGTTGAATTTACGATAATTGCAAACAGAACGGTGAGTTTATGGTGATCTTTTGATGCTCAATACGTTTGGGTAATGATGATGGCCGTATGGTTTTATTAATCATCACTCTTAATCGTTGATTTTATTTTGCACATCTATTTTACGTATTGACATTCTTTGTAGCAAGCACTATGATTGGGAGCAGTAGTGAAGATGATCAGTCATCGGAGAAACGACTTGGGAGGTGTTCTGTGGCCTTATATGGTGTAGGGCACATGCTCAATGACATTACATCTGCTTGTTGGTTCACATACCTTTTGGTCTTTTTGACAGATATTGGTTTATCTCCAAGGTTTGCCCCTCAATCTTTACCAATACTCGATTATGCCGTAAATGATAACCATAAAAGGGTCATGCTCCAACACTAGAGATGGTAGAGAATTTTCTATGTAATTTTCAGGAAACATTCAATTTTGTAATGATTAATGATGTGTCTTGATGAATTATTTGTTGTTTGGAAGCTGAACAAGAACATTTTTTTGATGATTCATTAGTTTATTTATTATAAACAAGGATAATATTAGTGTTTCGTTAATGCTTAAGCATTGTATGAGTGGATATGATTTCAAGTAATGAACAAGCACCAAGGAAGAGTAACATAGTAATAAATTCATCAAAGGGGCTTTGTAAGGGTCTATAAAACCCTGTATTTATCTTTTTAATTTCTAGTCTTAATGCATCGAATCTTTGGTTTGTAACATGTGAGTATTCATAATTTTTAACAGGAAAGGCAGATTAGATCCTATCATTCTATTTAAACCTAGAATCTTGCAAGGATAACTTTAAAGTTTGATTTTTGATACTTTTCTCCTTCTTCTTACTCACAGAAAAGCTGCAATTGTCATGCTCTCAGGTCAGATAGCTGATGGATTGGGAACCATTTTTGCTGGTGAACTGGTACCTTTCATAAGCACTGCATTTAGTCACTTCATTGTTGGGAGTATAGATGTATGAGTCTTTATCTGGTTAAGCCATTCTACAATCTACACCAGCCAAATATAAAAGTACAACCCACTGATCGGAGACTTCTGGATGCTCTTCTTATTTGGCTGATTTTTAGGATGAAACTCTAACTCTCAATATCCTCAAATTACACATATAGAAATTGCTTCTGTAATAGCTTAAAATCTATAGGTCAATGCCACTTAAATAAGGTATACAAAATATTGAGTAGTTTCAGCTTTAGTGGATATTAGTAAGGCATTAAAGCAAAACCAACTTGCTTTTTATCCATCATAAGAAATTTAACGCATTCAAGGCATTGACTGATTAAAATGATTGAATACTTCCGAATGGAGATGTTTGTTCTGTAAAGAAGCTTTATTGCATCGAATTAAAGGTCAAATGTGATAGAATTTTCAGGATTTATTGAGTTTTGCTGATTGCATTTTCTCTTATAATGATATCATTTTGCATGACTTCACAAACTGTTATTCTGAATATGATGTTATTCATTTTTATTAACAGATTGATAGATTTGGACATTTCAAAGCATGGCATGCTGCTGGATCTCTATTGGTTGCCATCTCATTTTCATCGGTATTTGGTGGTTGCTTGCCTTGCAAAATATTTGGTTCTAATTCATCTCTTTTGGAAACTATTGGGTATAGTGTGTTTGCTGCAATATTCAATATCGGCTGGGCTGCTGCTCAAGTATCACACATGTAACTTGGTCACTTTCCGTTTCTCTCTCTCTCTATGTATTCATTATATACCTATCTTTTTTAAAGGGCTGTTGCTTGCCTGTTGCTCTTATTTTAATAGGAATATAGGATCCTTTGATATCTTTTCATTTGCATTTTCTCACATGATAAAAATAGTGACATGTCATACACAGTTACACACACATGCTTATATGTGTGTGTTGGTAGTCTTAATGTGGTCTCTTGACGTGAAAAGAGAAATAGTCCATACGTGTCTCACACCTTACTATAGATATGTGCTTTAGGTGATATTTAAGATAACAATCAATAGTGGCTTGACAAGTACTACATCCATCCCAGGTTAAGTTTCCTATTGAAAAATGGCACGATTATTTAGACAATAATTAAATAAAGCAATTTCAGTAGTTTTGATAGGTATATAATATAATGGGTTCATTGATGATAGCTGTGATATTATAGGTGTATTATTTTTAATATTTTATGATCAAGTTAGCATTCAAGAGCGGTAATTATTTCATAAAATAGAAATGAGAACATTTAGTTGGGATGTTCAAAAAAGGAAAGTGAGAATCTTAAGCTGGGACGGAGGGAGTACTAGTTTTTATCTTCCGCCAGCTTTTTATCATATCCCTTCCAAAAAAATGTTACACAATTGCACAAAAAATGTTAATATTATCTCTAAACTGGGTTACTTAAAAAGGATTTATCTTGCTGCAGGTCAATGGTGAATTGCATCACTTTGAATTCAACAAGCAGAGTCGTGTTAGCTAGCTGTCGCAATGCCTTTACAATGGTATGCAATTTCCAGATAGTTAATATTTAAATAATTCTTTTACTGTTGAAATATGCTAATAGATTTGCATTTTTCTATACAGGTTGCAAACCTCAGCTTGTATGGAGTTGCTTTTATTGTATTCAACATGAACACCTCAAGGAAAGTAGCTGCTATTGAGAATCAGGTATACATAGTTACTCCTTTTTTTAGTTATTTTAGTGGACATGCTCTAATGTTGGGAGTATAAGCAGTACCGCTGGATAGCGTATATCTCAATTTTCATTGGATGTTGCTTTGTCGGCATGTTTCTTCTTGGAACTAAAGAACCAAGGTTTGTCAACTGTCTTAATTTTTGTCCATCACTCAAGAGATCACTCATATCATATGTAGTATTACCTTTTGCAATAATGCAATCATTTTCAGATTTTCTGATGCATTGTTAAACAAACTCATATTTTATTATATGACTTGTAAGAATAGAGAATAGAAACCAATTTAGTGTGATGGGAGGAAATGAAATAGGAAAAAAGTATTTCCCCTTTTAATATTATTCTTCAATTTTGGGAATAATGTTTCTGATAGTATTTTAATCTATGCAACCATTCATCCCAACTTTGTGTGCTTATCTCTAGGGGCAAAATCATAAATTTCATTGCACTCACTCCTATGATTCGTTTTTTTCCTTCAGATTGAAACAAAAAGCTCATGTTAATGGCTATGTTAGAATTTGTTGGAGTTATTGGTTTAAGAAAATTCTTTATCACCAAGTTGCTCTTGTTTATGTGCTAACAAGACTTGTTACTAATGTTTCACAGGTCAGTGTATAAACTTATGGTTTTATCTTTTAAATGCATCATTATTTCTGTGCACATACAGTGTTTTAGATTCGTTTACATTTAAACATCTTTGTTGTCCCAGTCATTTCTAGCTTTCTATGTTACCGATGAT